CATATCTCAAAGATTCGAAAATTACAAAGAACTATCCTTTCTTCACTATATATCTTCCCCGGGAAAATTAACTACTCCAAACTTAAACCCTGTAGGCATGTACACCTTTCCGGTTTACAATCCGGTCATCCTTGACAATATTTTTCAAAAGAATGTAAGTCAAGTATCATTGGGCATGCTACAGATGGTATCAGCAGCATCAGAATGAGAAGTTTAGTCTTCCATACTCAAGTTAATCTGGTAATCCTGGTGACACAAAATGGATGACCAAACAGAAAGCATAAGAGCCCTACCTAACCTGACAACCAAAAGGAAAATTGTCATCTTGCAGCAGAAAATTATGATCATGCTACAGTTCAAAGAGAGAGAAACAGCTAAGAAACAGCTATGTGATGAAATTACCTATGTTATGTTCCCAGGTATTCCATTAAATCATCATCATGCAGCAGCAAATCATCAATATCTGGGATCGGGCTGCTCATACTGATATAGTCCAAAGGTAACCCCTCAAAAGAACTGCCAACAAACTTATCTTGCTCACCGTAGAATGGAAAATCTACGAGGTGTTGCATATCTCCAGGGACAGAAGTTGAACTTCCACCACCAATCACATGATCACCATAAGGACTGTTGTCAGCTGGTGCCCTGATACCCATGGGAACCACATGATGATCCATCATAGGTAATGGCACTGATTGTTTCGGAGGTAAAGTCTGATAGTTACTGGGAAAACTATTAAAACCAGAATTGGCATGCAGTGGAAAGGGGTTTCCAGACTTTGACCTGGCATTATCACTACTTCCATAAAGTACAGGCTGATATATGCTTACAGGAGTAGCATCCACAGGTTGGGCATTATCAAAGCCATTAACCCCAGACCCAGGAAGATAAACATGCCCTTGAGCATTTCCACTGTGTTGTAAAGCTTCACTTGTAACGGCCATCTGATTGAAGCTTGTAATCTGGTGGTTAGCCATGCCTGGAATCTCTACTTTGTCCAGTCGGTTCATATCGGGAATCAGATTTCCTGGATTTTCTGGTGCATCATCAGTCCTTTGTACCTCCTGCTCAACAGCAACGGAACTGTGACGTGCTCTTTTTCTCTTTGGTGGTTGTTTTTTTGTTCCTTCCTTAAGAACAACAGCCTGATAAAGATGTTTAGTGTTCGCCCTTTCTCTGTCTCTTCCGGAGACATGCTCCTCGCTGGATTGTGCAGCTGGAGAAAGACCTTGCTCATCATCTTTAGATGATATTGAAAGAGGAGCCTCCTCAAAACCATCAACATCATACTCGTTACTGCTGCTCTGTGCGTTCCTAGTTCCATTTCTGTCTTCTGGAGCACTGCGGTGAGTAATCTCTGAGACGCCATTGTCAATGCCAAGCACAAGCCTTTCCTCTCTCTGTAGAACTCCCAACCAAATCAGGCTCTCCTTTGCAGTCATTTTATCCTGCAAGATTTTGGATTTGCGAACATGGTTTCTGATCTTATCGAAGTTAGGGGACATGTGCTTAATAACACATGTAAGCACACCGACCTTCCAAACCTTCTTAAGATCATGAGGTTTTTTGTAAGGAGCAATCTGTCCCCTTGGAAGGCCCAAGGCAGCCCACCACTCTTCATTCCCCGCAGGCCACCATGGGGTCGGAGTGCCCTTCTCCAGGGGGTACTTGCGCTGCGGTGGATTACAGTGCTGCATCAATGACGAAAGCAGTGAGCCCAGAGTGGCGTCTTGGAGATCCATCAAGCTGTGCTCGGTCTTGACAACGCTACTCTGAGCATCAGCATCCACCAAGTGCTCGGCCTCGTACTTTGCAATCGCTGCCGGACCATTCTTATCAAACTTAACCTTCTCCTTCCACCAAGCTCTAATGTTATCCGAGGCACCGCTCACAGGCTTCCCTTTCTCAGGGATGATCCCGTACACAAACCCACGGGCATTGCACACCTCCATCAGCTTGAGCATGTACTTGAGGATCCCGTCGTGCGCCCTGGCCATCTTCTTGCGCATGGCCTGGTCGGATATCTGCTTGGGCTTGGACTTCTCCAGCTCCAGTTCGGCCTGCTGCAGGGCCAGCTTCTGCTGCCTCTCCTTGATCCTCCGGAGCCTGACCCTGTCCTTCCACATTCGCCGGGCCAGCTCCTCCGGCTCAATCTCCTCGTCGCTGACATCGTTCTCGTTGATGCCGTCGACCTCGAAGTCGGACGAATCCCCGAACTCCGTCGCGAGCAAAGCCAGCTGATCCATAAGAACTGCTATGGCCTCGCAATCCCGATCACGTCCAACCCACCCAACCCCTCCTGGCCCCACCGAGCGAGGGAATCATGGAAACAGCATTCCCGCCGCCATTTTTTGGGGAAGACAAGCCGCGCCGCGCCTGAGGCTTCAGCTGAGATCAGCACTGCGCGCTGACGAAGACAAACCTAATCGGACCATGGAAAGAAGGATCAGCAAAACAAATCGGCACGAGCAGAACGAACTCCAACAACCCACTGGACCAATCTAGGGTTTCCTTACCCGCGAGAAGAAGACGGAGGAGGAGGAGGGAGGAACAAATCCACGGCGGCCGCGGCACCGGCGGTCGTCGCTTGGTGCGCGCCGCCGCCGTCGGCGACGACGAACTGCGGCGAGGATTGGTTTGGTGGAACGGCAGACTGGATGGGGAGGAGGCGGATTCGGAGAAGAATGGGCGAGAGGGTGGAGATGATTGGCGACGGGGAAATTCGCAGGTTCGGCTCGAGATTCGGTTGGTTTCCTTGTGTGGAAATTATTTATTGGAGGATGGAAAGGGGGAAAAAGGGAAGGAAGGAAACTCGAGGGAAGGGAAGGCCCAGCGCGAGGAGGAACAGAGCAAACAAACACGGGACGGGACCTCCTCCGCTCGTGTATTTCATCGGATCCTCTGCTCCTGCTCACCGTGTGAACTGCCTTGTGGCCTCTCTCCAATGTGTGCCACAGCCAAGGCGTTGTTTAATAACACCCCAAAACTATTTTCTGTATCTAGTACAGACCAAAATGTTCAGACTTGTTTTATTCACTTAACATGTACTCCCTCCGTACAGAAATATAAAAGCGTTTGTCTAAACGTTCTTATATTTCTTTACGGAGGGAGTAAGACTTGATTATATGAGGTACTCCTTTTGTTTTGACATTCTACATAACTTGTTTTCTGAATTAGATGCATGTAGACATATTTTAGTGTGTTTGTTCACTCATTTTAATTCATACGTAGTTCATATAAAAATATACAAAAATATCTGATAATAGTAAAAGGAGAAAAGATTATTGTTTTGCTGGTGGAGTTCGAGCTAAAATTTTGGTGGGGTCAACGGTAAGCTTAAATTCCTTTTTTCTGATGAAACATCAATGTTGCCCTTTGTTACGAAAATGACATGCAGAGATAGAGCTTCTAGTCTATGGTCAGGCAAGAAAACATGACAATTTTACAACTGAATTGCACACCAAACTCACTTATCATGTGGCTTATCCAAGAACTTGCTCCCTTTGTGAGAGAAATAGAGCATTAAAAAGAGAGCACAAACCTCTCTGAGTGAAAATAGTCGGTAGCGCTCAAAGATCTCATGGTGTCACCGTGGTATATGGACGAACGGAAGAGATCCCGGTGAATAGAGTTTGTGTATAAAGTACTCGTGGTTGAATTACTGCATGATCATGAATAATATTTCCAAGAGGGTATTTTTGTGAAACCATGTTTTATGATTTTGAATAAGCCATGTGAGCATATTCTGTTTATCATAAATTTAGCAAGACTTCAGCATTTTTTGTGACACCGATCAGTTGTGCAAGTCAAATTTCATCATCTAAGGTCTACAAAACTTTTATTCCCCTTAACAATATTTGGTGAGAGAGTTTGTGGGGAACTGTCTATTCTCCGCAATCAAGACGAAAACATGAACATAATTTTCGACTAGCAAGGTAAGATCATCTCTAATCAACCTAGGAAAATACCCCCCCCCATATGAACGCTGACTGTGGGCAGGAGCCGACCATCCCGTACATGTCCACCCCTGCAACCACATCCACAATTTTTAAAGTCAAATCCATCCAAGCACATGTATGCCGATCAATGAACGATAAGAATACACATAACAAAGTATAACACACAAATAATACTTATTCCAAGAGATAAATGCATAGTTCAAACGTAAAGTTTATTCAGAGTGCATAATTCAAACATAAAATTCAATGTGCATAATTCAAACATAAAATTCAATGATTTTTCGTGTGAATCCACATATGTTCCACTTAGTATGAATACACATATGTTACACTTAGTAGTTTGCCAGTGCGCCTGTGTATCTCGAAGTTATCGATGAATCATTAAAAAGTTCACAAAATGTTGCGCATCTTGTTTCGAGAGGCAGGCATGTACTCCGAACTTCATAAAAGCATGTGTGTGGGTTGCCCCTTCGCCCTCATCCCTCACAATCATGTTGCACAAGATTACATTCCATATCATTGCAGCTCCATGAATAATACCCCAACAAGATTGGAGTACTCTAGAAAACATTTTCACATCCTTCCTGGCATCTTCTTGCATTTGTGCAAAGAGATGTCATTTGTTACCTTGGGGATCAGGTATAGTCTTCACAAACGTCGTCCACCAAGGATAGATACCATTGGTCAAGCAATACCCCATATTATAGTAATGCTTGTTGATGGTGTAACACTGAAACATCCCCATCACAAAGTCTTTTGAACAGCGAAATCACATTGATGTCGTGAGAACCTGATATGCCAAACTCACAAGTACTTTGATGCCACCACTTCAAGTATTATAATGGTCTCTTTGGTGTGATCTTGGTAGTGTTTGTGCAAACCTGACAAGGCGGTTTTTCTTTTGGCAATGCATGCAACCAATTGAACCCTGAAAACCTCTTGTTGCTCCAATTGCCAATAAAAAATGTGTATCCTAAACATTTGTTTCTCTCAATTACTCCAGTCCCAACACATTTCACCATGGTGTCATGTATGTGCTCTCCCCATCCTGACGTACTCATCAACAACATCTGCAGCTTTACAATATGCAAGTATCCTTAGAGCAACCTTGCATTTTTGTAGAGTAGAGGACAATTGTCCGCATGAATTCTTCCTTAGCAATCACATGCATTTGTACCTCCCACAAATCCGCAAAAAAAAGGGTGCTCATTCTGAAGCGATGTCGAGAAAAAAAAAACTCCTGAAATATCGGGTTGGGTTTGAAGTAGTCATTGCAAGGACTCCTTGCACCACTTATCCTATCTCGGGCAATAAATAACCCACCCCTTATCAAACCCTTCAAGTAGAGAATATACTCGTCTTTCTTCTTCATTTCTTTCCGGATGCTCATATTCATCACCGTGTCAGCATTTTTGTCATTATCGATGTCTGAATCTGACGAATCGATGAACTTTGAATATATAGTCATCGAGCTTCTTGTACTCAAAATCATTATCTGATAAATTCATTGTTTGCCTACAAATGAGCAAAAGAATATAAAAGGATAGCTCAGACATTTCGTCGAACAAATGGTAGGCGAAGTGTAGGGCGCAACAAGGACGTCCAGAAACGGTTTGGGGCCGTGGTGGCGGCCATATGGTTTAGGGACGGCGACGGAGCTAGGCAAGGGGCGGCGTGAACGAGATGGAGGAGAGAAAGAGGGCAGGTCAGGCAAGGGTTGGTGATTGTTTGTAGAAATTTAGGACAGGTTCGGCCTGTCAGCTTCAACTTGACAGATGCATCTGACAAATTTAAATTCACCCCATATGTGAGCTGGGTCTCACATATGAGGAGAGTTTAAAGGGTTCGGCCGTCGTGCGAGCTGCCCACGGGACATATGAGAGCGGAGCAGGAGGTTCGGTTGGAGATGGTCTCTAGCACGACACGAGCATCTCTGCTTCCGTGGCCACAGAGACGGCGGCGTTCTGTGTCTCCGCAGAAGGATCCCGTCCCCGCGGTCAGCCATGATCGATGCTGCCTCGCGGTTGCACCTAAAAAGCCAGTAGCAGTAGTAAAACAGCCGCGGGAGCTCTAGCCTCCACGGAATTCAACCATACTATCGCTTTCCCCTCTCCCTCTCACTACCTTTTAGAGCACGTACGGCTGTGCCGAGCCGCCGGGCAGAGCACTTGCACTGCCCACGCACGCAGCGCCACGACAACGACGAGGCCGCTCGCTCGGCGCTGGGTGGAGAGCAACAGCAGCAGCACGAACGGGCTCCCGTCAACCTCGTAAGTTCCTGATGACGGAAATAGGACGTGGGAAGTGTTGACATGGGTTATTATGGAGTGATTAGATGGGTAATTGACCTCATCAACGCAAACAGCCGAACTTGCGGCGAAAAGACGGTGTGATTAGAGAGGCTGCTGTGTGTCGGAATGTTTTGCTGCTGCTCGCTGGCTCGCTCGTTCGTTATTTGGTCGTTCGTGGCACTGATCGGCCGGGTGCCGTGAAAGGGCAGGGTCTTTTTTTTTTTGAACTCGTGAAAGGGCAGGTTCATCGAACGTGGACTTCTGCCCAGGTTCATCGAACGTGGATGGCACGGAAAACGTCGACGTTCGAGGTGGGCACGGCCTGTGTGGTGGGCCGCGAAGCAACTCGGCTGTACCTCGACTGGGCTGGCCCAGTGATGATGCAGTGAAGAAGAAGCGAGCGGGCGCTTGTAGTAGGGATGTGGCCGAGTGTACGTTAACCAAGTTACCAACAGAAAGATCCCTCAAAAAAAAAGTTACCAGCAGAAAGAAGGCTGATCTCAAAAAAGGAAAACATAAAGAAGGCTCTTCTCAAAACAAAAAACAAAAAACAACAGAAAGACTGAAAGAAGGCAGCGTGAGGCGCGGCTTTATGCGAGACAATAGCCTTTTTTTAGTCTATAAATGCGAGACAGTTGCTCCTCTTGCCTACAGGGAGTCGGTAGTATGCCAACCCACTAGCTTGCTTCCTTCGTCTGTTTTTATTTATTTATTATTATTAATTATAGTTCTCAATGGAAAAATATTATAGTTAAACTTTTAAAAATGTTTATCATATGTATTAAAAATGTTGATGAAGTATAAAAAAATCTGTGTGCAACTTCAAAAAAATGTTTATGTCATTTAGAAAATATGTTTATATAATCTAGGAAAAAAGATCGTGAAAAAATGTTTATGCAATCCCAAATAATTAGCGTAAGTTTTAAAAAATGTGACATTAGAAAAGATCGCACATTAAAAAATATTGTTGTGACATTTTAAAAAATATTTCTAAAA